TTCATGTGACACCTTCAAAAGCTTTGTCAGTCATGATACACCACGTCACAAACCTTCCTACTATCAACTGCATCAATTAGATTGGAAAAGAATGATAGCAAATTTGTCCAACATGAGCAGTGCTCAGTAGAACTTGGTTGTGAGTCGTTTATTAATCTATTTTTTGGTGATTAAGACGAATGGCTTTTGTGATTATTGATTCAAGCCATTTTTCCCATATTAGACGTTACTTCTCAAGGCACTGACCCCCGTTTGTGCTCTACCAAGTACTGACCCCACTAACACCCTGGACCCCAGTAAACAATGGTTAGATGGTGTTGGGGGAAAGGTCGGGCGTGCAGGGCTTGGCGGGGTGTAAGGGGTCTCCTGGTGTGTTGTGGAGGGTGCTCGGAGTCTTGGTGGGGGCGGGTTGGTAACACACTGAATAGGGTTAAGAATTTTAGGTAGGGATAGCAGTGCCAATCATTAAAGTGAAATCCAGGTCAAATGTGTCACGTATCTAACCTTCACTTCTGAGTCAGTGGTAACCTAGATCGTTATAGCATCCTTCTGAATGCTTGCTGGTATATAAGAAGAATTGTCTTAGAGCCCTAGTTGTACAGAGATACTTGGTAGTACTCACCCAGTGATGGTTAAACAAGTCTCAGTAGACCTAATTGCAGATTATCGAATTAGCTACTACAAACCTTTCCACGCAGACATAAGAGAGAGAAGCAGCGTACAGGAGTTTCGATATTTGTAAATGAGGATTAGAAACGCAGCACTAAGCAGGTAAAGGATCAGAACCATACTGATACTATTGAGGAAGAAGTGGCTGAGGGCAGCGAAAAGCTTCTAATCGTAGTAGTTTAGAGGCTCTTAACGAAGCAGAAAGCAGACGCATCCGGCCGTAAGTGTCAAGAAGCTCTAGAAAGAGCAATATATGTTTGGTTATGGACTTGAACTATGGAAGAATTGATGAAACTCAAGAACACGAAATCCAGGAATAAAGGAATTTTTTGAAGGAGGTCGAAGACTGCTTCCTGACCCAGTCTGTAAATATGTCCATCAGGACTCACAATATTGTGAACCTGTTGCTGGTACACAATGAAACACTGGTCAATCATGTGGAGATCAGCAACGAGTTATTAAACAGTGATCATCAAAAGATTTGACTTGAGATTGCATAGATGAGCGAAAATATCCAACTCAAACTCATAATACAGAGCAAGAGATTATTCATCAGAACTCGCCAAAATATTCATCCGACATAATGATCAAATGAACCAACATTTGGCAGCACGTGTCAAACACCGTGTGCCATATTCTATTAAAAAATTTACGCCTAATATGCACTGTTAATTATATATAACATATATTTAGAAAGATCAAGCAATTATCTATAAGAACATCACTACATAATATATCGTGTACAAAGCCACTAATCAGTTGCAAGAGAGGCACTACACCACCCTCCCGGTAGCCTCTCACAAAGGGCAATACTTAGTATACCTTGTCCTCTTAAGATGAAGTCTTTATATTACGAAGATCTGAAGACATTCAGTGAGCCAAGCAACATGGTAAGTCAAATTATGCAACAGAGATGCTTCCACCCTTAATTTCCACGTTTAAAGCAATACACTGTATGTGCTATTCATTGGTCAGTATATACGGCAATCACGCAATACAGACTATCCATCAATCTATCAGATTATATTTGTATATTTAGTAAGAAATAGGCTCCATTGCACCAGACTGGGCATCAATGATGTCACCTCTTATTATACAACCTTGAAAGTCATAGTGCACATGTACTGCTCTTTGTGAATTATATGAATAAACCCTATAATATGGACCAAACAATTATCTAACATAACATACTAATATTTTCAACTATTAGCTTCGTATAGTCTCTAAACTTAGGAATGAAGGCCAGACGGATGCTATAGTTCCCGGGACAGTTACAGCTGCGAAACCCCCGTACGGAAAATGGTGGTACGCGCACACACACACTATGAGCGGGGCACACAACCTGGCATTTGGGCTCCCTTCCTGTCGTGCGAGGCGTGGAAGATGAGGGTGGAACTATACTGGAGAGGACGGAGAGGTAGGGAGAGAGTGGGAAGAGGGTGAGATGCAAAGGTATCAATCTCTTTCAAATAAGTCTTATGTAAACTTACCGACAACCTAATTCAGGCGAGAGACATCACGCTGGGTAATAAGTATTTACTTACAGTTACTGTGGCAAGACAAGGATATTCGTTGATAAAAGGGACAAGAAAGTGTAAGTTGTAGCGATTGGCTCACCTTCTGGAGCCGCGCATGGATCTGCCTCGCCTCTTCTTCTTGGGTCTCTTGGTACAGGCGTAGCAACACACCTTCCAGTAGAGGAACCTAAAGGAGTGGGCCATCCCGTCGCCGATGTTAGCCAGACATAGCATCATCAGCGGGACCCCCGGAATGGCGTAGATGATGGTCACAACTTTGCCCCAGTCAGTCTTGGGTGCGATGTGGCCGTACCCTGTCCGTGCAGAGAAGGATGCCACATACAGGTTAAAAAGGTTCAAAGGATGAGGCAAGTTCAAGTATGTTTATTGAGACAAGAAAGAAATACATCTCAAAGGGGTAGAGTAACTTAGGCTATTTCTACCCCCTTAGGATGAGACAATCTCGATAGCCTACCAAATTTTAATTCAACTTTGACATTTTTGAATTTTAAAATTTAATTTAAAAGTTTGAATATCGTTAAGGATTTATTATTGAAGAACTCACTAGTTCTATGTATGGTTCCGCTAATGAAATTCCATGGAATATTTGTAAAAAAGTGGACACTAGAGAAATTAATAATGATTTGGACAAAATATAAATAAAAATTGGTTTAGCATTCGAACCAGACTTGGCTTAAGAAGTTTTCCTTAAGTATTGGAACTTTAGGTAAATTAGTGTATAAGTTCAAGTACAAGTTGTAGAAAATTTAGTCAAGTTATTCAAAGTACTTAAATATCAAATACATGTACAAATACTTTTGTGGGTGATATAAATAACCCATTCATATTTAACTGAAACTATTATTTACCCAAAAAATATAAATGATGATTTAGTCAAACTGGAAATTATCTAAGATGAATGCGTCAGACTCAGAGTAAAACTTTCAGGCAACCATTACCACGAAATAAACAACAGGAGCACAATGTGTCTTTACCTCGGTCACATGAACTTATGAAACTCAGCATTTCTTAATGACTTAAAAAAAATCGGAAAAATGTTATTCGTTTGATTATTGTACTTCCCATTCATGAGTGTTTCAAAGTTCCCATCACTCAAGCGGCAACGAAGTGGTCGGGACGTCGTCCACCAATGTTAATACTTCCCTTAACCGATGCTGAGAGTTTCTTGAGTAGAGTCGAGCTCTCACCGGCTAGGCTAACTGTTACAACGAATCTTATAAATAATCCAAATGATTCTCTCTCTGCAGGTTCACATGGCATGTTGAGGAAGTGTTTGTTCTAATTGTCATCAGTAGTATCAGCAACATGTTCATAAGCTTCAGGATCTTCCATATAACGGAATATTTTACGTGTTTTTTGGAGCCGAGAATAAGTATTTACTGAAGCGGCCAGTGTTCGCGAGGCTGCTGTGATCTGTGCAGTAAACTCAGTTGTTAACTAAGATTTCCACAAATTATCCTGTCACCGCTTTGCTTTAAAGTGTGGAGTTAAGTACACCGGGAAAGCAAAATATTTTGCTTGCCTTATATTGGATTAATCGCCTTTCGAGTGACTTCATCAATGCTGCCACAAAAAATGGTTACAATAATTACAATGAGCAGAAATCGCGTGGCAACTGGCATAGAAGAAATGAACTTCTATGCCCTTGAGTGCTGGCAGCAGACTGATTGATTGATTGATAAAGATTAAGCCACTCAAAAGGTGGCACGGGCATGAATAGCCCGTAAGTGGTGGCCCTTTTGAGCCATTATCAGTATCAACAGATGATACTGGAGATCTGTGGAGGTGCGACTGCACCCTGCGTGACGGGAGATGTCTCCCGTGACAGCAGACTGAATCACAAGTACTTAAGTAAGAGTGAGTCAATACATCTTATTTTCAAGTTTTAACTCGTTAAATGTTTCCAGTAAATTGTTTGAGGTACTTGAAGAAACACTTGAAATTACTTAAATCTTTTAAACTTCATCATATAGTTCAAATACCTTCTATTATTACTATTATTATTATTATTCTCTCCCTACCTAATAATTCAATTATTCTGAAAATTGGGTCTTAGGTACAAAGTACAAGTAAGTACTTGATCCCCTCCTTGATTCGAGCAGATTGTAAGTACATATGAGAGATTATGATCATTCAATTCACCAATTCAAAATTACAAATGTAGCTTCTTGCAAATCATTCATAGGCAGAAAAGAAAAAGAACTAATTATTGTCAAAATAACAGGAATGATTAAAGAATAAATTAATCCTTCTTGGTAAAAGCCTTGCGCCTTAGTGTTGGTCTACCCATGTGCTTGTGAAGATCACAGATTGAGTATGTACATGTTATATTTATCTTCAATTATTGCATTGGATCAGTTCAAGTTTCAACATATACTACGATACTCTGCGAGATCAAAGGATCGATGAAATATCTGTACTTATTTCTGTACGAGTGTGTGAAGGATGTGGACCCACACCTGCCTCGCAGCCTAGTGCTGCTTCATGCTCCATCACTCTCACAGTAAGTAGCGTGCTGGGAGGTGAACTGAAACATGAGCTCTCCCAATATTATTTACCACTTTCAATGAGTCTAATGCATTTTGATAAGATTCAATGCAGCGTCCTTAGAGGTGGACGTAAAGTTCATGCAACAAAAAACCCTACAACATATACATCATGTGGTTGTGATCAGAGATGTGATTAGTCGTTTCAGATAAACATTAAAGATTGTCCTGCATTCTCATTGGCTGGCTGAAGGGGTAGGCGAGTTTCAATTGGCGGTTCTCTCGCGGAGTAAGGAATAAGCTGCATGTTTACAATTAGATGTGTGTGTGTGTTTGCTGCGCTGTGTCCCATGAACCAGTGCATGGAGGCATCGTGTGAAACCCTGATTAGGCTTCATTGGAAGCCTCAGGAACCCTAGAAGATTCAGTGGAATAGGAACCAGAGGAACCAGCACATAGGGTCGAATCCAACTCATTGCTCCTACTAATAAATTTATTCATATATAACTTAATACTATTATACATGTATAGGCGTAGGTTAGGTTTCGTGTTCAGGTTATGTTCATTATTTTATTTGAAATACGAGGGTGGAACATTTTTAGAGTTGCGTTCGAACAGAGGTAGTCAGTGAAGCACTGTTCGAAAAATGTTCTGACGTTATCAGTTGTGAATCGTATGGAAAGTGTTTTTTATTCAGCCTGTCCTCTTAACAAATACCCACAGTCCATTCCATGCACCCGCAAACCCGCTGTTTATGAATGAAAAATGATTTACATACGACTCACAACTGATGACGATCGAACACTTCCGGAACAAGTGCTTCACTGACGACTGGTGTTCGAACCACAACGCTGTAAATGCTTCACCCACGTACTACAAATACAAATAATCGCCAACAGAACCTAAACACCTAACCTAACCTAACCAATGACAAAATAGGCACAATATGTTAATATTTAATAATAATAATCTATATTTGAGAAATTCTTATTTTGGATGAACAACATGTTAATAAATAAAAATTGATGAATGCGTCTTTGGGGTCGACCGCCGGATGGAATGGACTTGGTCTGAGGATGGGTTGACCGAATGAGAGCTGTGGTTTATTCTTGTTTTGCGATTAAGTAACTCCTGTTAGTTTTCATGTGTCTTGTGTTGGGATGAAATTTCATGATTTAGATTTCTTAGCATGCCTGACTGCCTGTCTATCTGCTTGTCTGCCTGTCTGCCTGTCTGTCTGCTTGTTCGAAGTAGGAAGCCATACACTTGGGAAAAGCCTGATCCAACTTTCCAACATGAGACATGAAGGGTATGCGAGTGTCATAGGGCAGTCGGGGTCTGCCCAACAGCCACCGTTTAATAATGGTCGGCCAATAAAACGAGCCCCTGCGATTTTTCATGATTTTTTTTTTTTATTTTTACATGCAAAGCATGCAATTTAAATACAATAAAAACACAGAAAACAGAACAAAATAATACAAGAGACCACCGGCCAGAAGGGCCGACAGCACAGCACAACAAAACACAAACATGATAAACGCATAGAAAAATACAGCATACATCAAGACACAAAACATTATACAATGGCAAACAAGCAAGCACAGTAACAACTCAAAACAAAAAACACTGCATAAAACAAAACATACATCAAGAGGCAGAACAGGAAACATAACGGGACAATCACAATACACACCAAACAAAACAAAAATATCAAACAATGAAAAACACTGTTTTCACTGTTGTGAAAAACACTATACCATCCGCCCCGCAACATACAAAGGGCGAGGCCAAAATAAACAATAATAATAATCAAGCAAACCACACAAACCAGAAAACAAACAGGTACAAACACAACAACATACACGCACTGGCCTGAAGGACCGAGAATAAAACACAACATAAAGAACAACAAGAAACAAAACAAGACAATTTGCACAGCACACAAGCCATGAATAACAACAAAAACAACAACTACGGTAAGTGGACACATTTGCCTGAGAACCTGTCCTGTGGGAACCGCACATTGAACGCCTCCCAAAGCAGCCACGTCGTCCAGGAGGCTTGACCCAACACCGGGGGCGCCATGCGAACTGGAACCCCAGCAACAAACACCCGCAGACATGGAACCCACACGGTGTCCCTCCAGACGCGAGTAACTGCCACCCTATCCCATACACTCGGAACCCGCCCATCAGAAAAATCCTCCGGCCGGTCAAGCAGCAGGAACTCGGCAACCCGGGCCTCCAGGTCCTCAATGCACAGCACCGCAGGAGGGGGCTCGACAGAGGGCATCACCACAGGGGCATCAGCGGCCACGGGCACACCATCAGACGACTGCAGGGAATCACGGCGGCGCGGATCCTTACGTAAAGTCACCACCAGGCTACGCCCAGCACCAGCATCCTCACCATCCCTGGCAGCGGAAGCCACCACACCCCACAGCGAAGAGCCCCCGGGCGGGGAATAAACAGGAGACACACCCGAGACACGGGCATCAGCACCAGCAGGCACATGCTGGTGCTGATGCCACCACCTCTGCCACCAGCACCCGCGGAGACAACGACTCAGCCGGATCCACGCCGTCAACACCTGAAGACCCACAGTCACTGAAGTCCCCAACATCAGCCCAGGCAGTAGACGAACGCCTGGAACGTTTGGGCTCCGGCCGGATATCATCAGAGCAGGAAGCGGACCCAGAAACACGGGCACCACCAGCCGGACGAACCGACGCCCGACGCAGAACGGCAGCAGCCTCCACCAAAAGGGACACCGGACCACACACAGCAGGAGGCTCCGCAGCCACCCCA